GGTCTAACTGGAGAACTAGAACCAGTTTGTTCAAGTGTTGGACTTTAGAGTCAATGTGGGTTCAATCCCCCCTCCTAGTTCACAAGGAACAGGGTTTCTGCAGGTCTCAATTTCTCTCAACAGGTTCAATTTAAGACCTTTTGAAGAACTTTAAGACCACCATGAATGCAATAGAGGCCTTATTTATATCTATCTATACTGGCAAAACGAATACCAAGCATATGAAAGAAAATCAGTATTTGTGATTGGTGATAGCATAATCAATACATATATGTCCAAACAACAATTAAAAGAGAGACAGTTGCAGTTTTATACAAGTAACATTGCCGTATTTTCGAGACCTGTCCAAATCAGAAAGAAGATATTTTAATTTCAAGGCCTAAAACGCAGCGGACTCCCTGCAGGGACAGAAGTCAGACTCTGTTACAGTAAATCAGCAACAGATTTATGTAACAATCCACTCACCGCTGTGTCCTCCACTTTGTCCAGATCCAGAACTTCCTCCTCCATAACCTGCTTCTCCCTGTCCATGGCTCGTCCCTCCTACCTGACCCGGTCTGGGCTGAGGTCTGGTGGTGGAAATCTGGGTTCCTGCTCCTCCAACTGGACCTTCGTTGCAGTCCTCTCCGCTGTAACCATGGCAACACTTCCACTCCATCTCCGTCACCATCTTATAGGCCACTTTGTACCGCGGCCTCATGTAGGTCCGATACCTGCAGAGTTCAAAGTTCACACACTGACTGAGAGAGTGGGTGTGTGTGTGTGTGTCTCTGTGTGTGTGTGTGTGTGTTACTGTGTGTGTGTGTGTGTGTGTTACTGTGTGTGTGTGTGTGTGTGTGTGTGCACTCACTGCACCACCCGGCTGCACTGTCCACTCCCCCAGCTGCAGGGATGATAATCAGGCTTCACATAGGTTTCCACTCCGTCCTCGACCACACAGCTCACCGTCTTTGTCACAACAAACGCACACCAGTTCCTGCTCCACATACACACACACACACACACACACACACACAATAGATGGAGTTTTTGGTTTATAAATCGATCAATGACAATCTATTGATTTTCAGTGAGCAGAGAGGAGGTCAGATAACAGTGTCACCAATGTACACAGTGATCCCCTGGGTTGTCTTTACGTGCTGACGTGCAACGGTAAGCGTACTGACTCATTTCCAGTTAACTTCCTGCTCTGTGTACACTGTTTGGT